ATTAACTTAATTCTCAAATGCTGGAAGGTCATGAAATAGGCACTGAATTCATTCAAATATCCCCATGAAAACAGACTAGTACTCTGGAAATACTATTCATTTTTTTTAAGCTTTTACTCATTTTTTAAACTTGTATGTCATGTATGTATGTATGTATGTGTGTGTGTGTGTGTGTGTGTTGAGGAGTCAAGAATATGAAAAAAAAATTATGTCTATAGCCTGATAATGGCCTTAAAACAAGCTACCTGCCCCTTTGCCCTACATTCTCCCAGATATGGGAAAGCAGTTAGAACAGACCCAGGCTATGTAAACATCTTGAATTAACACCCTCTAATCAGAGGTCTTAAATCATGACACCAAGTATACACTCCATAGGAGTTGTAGACCCTAACCCTAGGAATGCATTCCCAAAAGGCTGTAAATCCCAATATGTACTCTCTGCCCTGTATATAACCTGTGGCCATGAAAAGATACTTGTAGCCCCTCATAGGGTCACATAGCTGAATAACTTTGTGGCCTTAACTAGTTAGAAGTTTTTTGTTTCCCACGGTGATTTTAATAAAGTTACTTCTGGTTAATAAAATTTGGTGGTCTGAATGTATATATCCTGGGTTAAACAAAAGCAAGACATAGGGAGTAAAAATTTATGACTCTGTAGATACCCCGAATCCTGTTAGCCATCAGTAACCTCATGCTTACAGTTCAGCCTGTAACTTCAAAGAACTGCCTTACCTAGCACCCTTGTCTAATCCCAAGCTGCATGCAAACATTTCCTATGTAAACCCCTTAAAGTGAGGGCTGTCCTCCTCCACCCACTGTGTTGGATGTTGGATGCAGACCAAGCTTGCCTGTTTTGTTATTAAAAAGCCTTTCTGTGCTTGCATTGGATATCAGCTCTGTGGTGGTCTTGCTTGGGGGTCTTGTGGCCTGGGCACAATATTTAGGGGCTCGTCTGGGATCCTCCTGCTTCCCCCAGACCCTATTCTGAGGGTTTTTTAACTGGCCAGTTTCTGTGTGTCTTTGTCCTTGTCTTTGTGTGGCTCTGTACATATTTTTTGTGAGGCACACTAGATCTGTGAAGTGGTCCAGTAAAGGTCAATGCTGGTGGCAGCCAGTAGATGCACTGGAACCAGGATCACAGGATTCCCGAAGACGTTCTATGTCCCTTAAAGTTTAATGGGAATGTGGAACCCCCCAGTCTGTTTAACTTGAGGACTGACAGCCTCAAGTCTGGACAGTTTTTGGTGTGACTGAGCCTGGAGGGTCACTCCTTCCAGACCACATCAGCCTGTCATTGTTCTTGGAACTTCATTGGTTGTCTCTTGGGGCAAAGTTTGTTTTGGTGTGCCCTTGGTCTTGTGTGTAGCATTTTAATTGTTCTCATTGTTGACTAAGATGGATGCCATGGGACAGTCTCCCTTTTCTCCCCTAGACCTTTGCCTAGCATACTGGAAGGATGTGGGAGCCATTGCTCACTACAGAATGATCGATTCACAAAGAAAAGTTTGTCACCTTTTGCAGTGCAGAATGGGGCCTATTGGTGAAATTATTTTGGCCACTCCACATAGTTAAAAGGATATTTATTTAATGGCGTAACTCACAAATTAACTGATAGGTAGGTCACAGGGTCTGGGAAAGGTGTATCGCAGTCCAGCGGCGTTCCCTGGAGCTCTGCTCTGTCCACCTCCAATGTTCAGCGTCCCGGCACAGAGAGAGCACACAGAGAGAGCGCTGGCCCATCCAGCTCTCGGGTCTCCAGGCGCCTCCCCTGGCCCTGCCTCGTAGGCGTGACAGTTGCCAGAGTCTCAATGGGG